ATTTCTGAAGTGCTTCAACGATCACATCAAGATTTCCCGAAGTGCTTCAACGATCACATCAAGATTTCCCAAAGCGTTTCAACAATCACATCAAGATTTTCCGAAGCTCTTCAACGATCACATGAAGATTTCTCGAAGCGCTCCAATGATCACATTAAGATTTCCCGAAGTTCTTCAACGATCACATCAAGATTTCCCGAAGCGCTTCAACGATCACATCAAGATTTCCAGAAGCTCTTCAATGATCACATCAAGATTTCCCGAAGCGCTTCAACGATCACATCAAGATTTCCAGAAGCGCTTCAACGATCACATCAAGATTTTCCGAAGTTCTTCAACGATCACATCAAGATTTCCAGAAGCGCTTCAATGATCACATCAAGATTTCCCGAAGTTCTTCAACGATCACATCAAGATTTCCAGAAGCGCTTCAATGATCACATCAAGATTTCCCGAAGTTCTTCAACGATCACATCAAGATTTCCCAAAGCGCTTCAACGATCACATCAAGATTTCCTGAAATGCTTCAACGATCACATCAAGAATTCCCGAAGCGCTTCAACGATCACATCAAGAATTCCCGAAGCACTTCAACGATCACATTTCCCCTTATATTCAGCAGTGCCTGCTTGGCCCTGAGCACTGTGTCACTTGAAGTTTTGTCACTTAGTCCCCAGTCACACTCGTGTGAATTGTCAAGCGATTTAATCATTTCAAATCACATGAAAAGTCGCAGCCTACTGTCTGTGATGGAAGCGGTCAAATCAGTTTTGAATGTAGTTCATGCACTACTTTTTTGCAAATTGAGGTGCGACTTGCATAGACATCTATGCATGAAGTCCCACAGATGTCTTTCAAGTCGCACCTGAAGTGGCACTGACATCCTACTTTGAATCATGCCAATTCAAGTGAAGTCGCACAATTTTAAAGTGGGATTTGGTGTGACCGAAGACAAAGGGTAGACATGCATCTAAATCTCCCTTCCTCTGAAGGCCGATCCACATTCACATGGCACTTCAGAGGCTACTGACAGGTGGTGAAGAAGTGATATGACGCCTCCCCACCTGTTTTAACCTCATAGTTCCTGAGAAATGCATCGCAACTGCCTGCTTTGCAATGTTTGTGGCGCTTCCTCATTTGCTTGACTGTGTAACGTTCGGAGGGGCGTGTTGCCCGCTGATTGCTACATGTCAGGTGAACTTCGCCACAGGCGTAAAGAGAAGCATCATGGTCACGGCCAGGGCTGCTGTTAGAAACCACGGGGCCCCATACAGCCAACCTGACAGGGCCCCGTTAAAAAAAAACCCAAAAGAAACAAAACACAATTTTACTATGCTTCAATTCTAAATGAACACAGTGAGTGATCAGTACTGATTTTTTTGGCCCCTGTAGACGTCAATGGCAGCTCCTAAAACATTCCTGAAAATGTGTGTATGGTGCGTATTTAATGCCAACTTCTGGCCACTCCCTCTCCTACTAACCAGCTTCCCATTGGCTAAAATAAAAATACTCAAGTCTGAAAATGCTGAAAAACACCCATACAAACGCACATAGAGGATGCCCCAAGAACTTTTGGCCTGGATTCACACCTGGGCAGAAGGGTATGCAAAGCGTATTCTTGGTGTATGTACTGTACTTATCTGAGAGTAGAGCAAAGGGGGGGCTGAACATACAAGTGTGAACAGGGACAATAGGACACAATAGGAATCTGCATGTAGAGTGTAGTTAGGTGTTGGGAAACAAGCAAATAAATGCTCAGATGTGGCTGGGGGCTCAGTTATACAGATCAGTGTGTGGTGACACACTGTATATAAGAACCTTGATGCACAAACTGCACACCCGCCTTTCTCAATCTGTACACATGAACTCACCTAGATGTTAAACTCTCCTGGCAGCAGAAAACTGGAAAACGCAGCAAAAACGTAGTACCACGTTTAGCTGTGTTTACTCACGTTTAGTTGCGTTTAGCGTTTATTCATTTGATTGGCCAGAGTAGTTTCCATTCACGTTGATAAACGCCTAAGTGCTAAACACTGCTAGAGTTTAGATGCATTTAGCCATGTTTAGATGCGTTTAGCCACATTTACACACATTTTTGCTGCGTTTGGCATTTTTTTGGCAAAAACGTTCCACTCCTGAACACGATTATTCTGCGGTCAGAAGAGAAATGTTGAACTGCCCCAAAACTCTGCTGCTCCTAAACTCTGGTAAAAGCCTATGTGTACATGGACACATAGGCTTTTATAGAGTTGAGTTCAGAGGCTTTGGCAAAAAAATGCCAAAAGCACCTAAGCTCACGTTTAGGAGCAGCACTTGTACATGAGGCCTAAGGCTTCATGTACACAAGCCTACTGTTACCACTGGCCGCTGGGAAATGCATGTCAAAAATGCGGTTGCCGCATTTGCCATGTTTTTTTACCGCGTTTTCCCACGGTTGGCGGTCAAAATGTTCCTATCCGAAACACAATTTGTTTGCGTTCAGGAGAGGGAGGTTTAACCTCGCCTAAACGTGTCAGCTCTTACACTCTGCTAAAAGCCTGTGTGTGCAGTACATGGACACATTGGCTTTTATGGAGTTGTGTTTACTACTGACCCCGGGCCCTCGGGCAGTGCCTGAGTTTCCAAATGGTCAGTCAGCACCTGGGACTGACAACTCATGGGGCCCCTGGACAATAGGGGATCATGGGGCCCCTGCATCCTTGCCCAAACTAAAAAAAAGCCTATGAAAAAAAGGTACCAGGGGCATCTCATGGGGCCCCCTACTGACCCTGGGCCCTCGGGCAGTGCACGAGTTTCCAAATGGTCAGTCAGCCCCTGGGACTGACAACTCATGGGGCCCCTGGACAATAGGAGATCATGGGGCCCCTGCATCCTTGCCCAAACTCAAAAAAGCCTATGAAAAAGGTACCAGGGACATCTCATGGGGCCCCCTACTGACCCCGGGCCTTTGGGCAGTTTCCAAATGGTCAGTCCGCCCCTGTTCCGGTGCATATTTGATGCATTTTTATCGCGTTCCAGTTCAATTTTTTCCCCTCTCTTTTTCTTCAATGTAAATAGGAACATGTGCGTTTCATAGCATTTTTGGTGCATTTTGGTGCATTCCAGTGTGTTCTGGTGCATTTTTGATGCGTTTTACTGCATTCCAGTACAGTTCTGTTCAGAAAAAATGCAGCATGTTCTACTTTTTTTTCTGAATCCGGAATGCACTGAAACTGGAAGCACTGATGTGAACTATGACATTGACAACCATATAACCTACTCTCTGTGTGTTTTTGGATGCAGAAAAAAGCAACTGAAACGCATGTAGTGTGAACTGGCCCTTAAAGTGTGTACCGTGTTAACACTCATTTACCCGCATCAAGAGTTTAGGCGTAAATTATTTCATTGTCCAGAATAGGTAATTTATTCTAGCCATAGAAATAAATTAATGCCCCTGTGCTGAACGTGCCTAGTGCTTAGGTGCGTTTACACACGTTTAACCACGTCCAGCATTTTTTCCCCCAAAAGGTCGCTGCTCCAGGACGCCCTGGTAATGGGGTTTTTTTTTCTTCTGCCATTAAACGCTGCTAAGGCCTCATGCACACAGGATGTTTTAAAATCGCTCCTCCTCTTGGCAGCATCGACGCTTGATAAAGTGTCTAACGCTTTTACAAGCATTTAGGTACATTTACAAGCGTCAAGTGCTTGGGCATTAATTAATTTCATGGGCCAGAATGAAATGAATTAACACCCAAGAGCTAAACGCGTCTAGAGTTAACACAAGCCTTACACCCCTAAAGTGCTGCAAAAGTGCCCTGTGTGAATGAGACCTTAAAGCCTATGTCTACATGGACACATAGGATACCATGCAGGGGAGTTTAGAGGCAGGGGAAAAAAAAACTCTTGATACCCCTACAGTAGCTTCAAAAACACCCAATGTTCATGAGGCCTGATGATGAGAACATTTCTTGGACCAGTTTCACACCTACAGGTTCCCCAAGTTCCTGCATGTCGCAGGTAGGGCAGCCCGTTCTTTTCAATAGTCTTCCTTAGTCACATGGGACAGAAGTCCCTTACCCTTTTCCAAAATCTTGCTGCAACAAACCGCATAATGCAGAAGCACCTTGCAATTTGGCGCAGGCAAAAAGGCGCACGTTAGCAGATGCATGGGGATGCCATTAACAATTAATGGCACCAATGCGCGCCTGCTAATGGTCAGTGCATTTCTGGGTGTGTCAGGAAAGCATGCGATTTTGTGTACAGGTGAACCTAGCCTTAGGCCAGGTTCACATATGTGCGGCTGTGTAGGCCGCGATTTGCGTGGGCACAAGATCCCAATCATTTGAATGGACTCCTGTGCCCCGGGACACGGGAAGAAGTCCCTGCACTTCATCAGAAATTGCAACCCGTACGAGAACCAAGGTTCCCAGTACAGTTGCGATTTCCAGTGCAGGCAGTGTGCCGTTAGAATTAAGGGTCACGCAATCCTCTGTGTGGGTGGTGCAGCTGAAGGTATTTGTGCGGGTCATGCAATCCTCTGTGTGGGGGGTGCAGCTGCAGGTATTTGTGCGGGTCCCACATTCCTCTATGTGGGGGGTACAGCTGCAGGTATTTGTGCAGGTCATGCAATCCTCTGTGTGGGGGGTGCAGCTGCAGGTACTTGTGCGGGTCACGCAATCCTCTGTGTGGGGGGTGCAGCTGCAGGTATTTGTGTGGGTCACGCAATCCTCTCTGTGGGGTGCAGCTGCAGGTATTTGTGCAGGTCACGCAATCCTCTGTGTGGGGGGTACAGCTGCAGGTATTTGTGTGGGTCACGCAATCCTCTCTGTGGGGGGTGCAGCTGCAGGTATTTGTGCAGGTCCCACATTCCTCTGTGTGGGGGTGCAGCATTTGTGCGGGTCCCACATTTTTCTGTGTGGGGGGTGCAGCTGCACGTATTTGTGGGGGTGGGGGGTGCAGCTGCAGGTAGGTCCCATTTTTTCTGTGTGGGGGGTGCAGTGCAGGTATTTGTGTGGGTCCCGCATTCCTCTGTGTGGGGGGTGCAGCTGCAGGTATTTGTGTGGGTCCCGCATTCCTCTGTGTGGGGGTGCAGCTGCAGGTATCTGTGTGGGTCCTGCATTCCTCTGTGTAGGGGGTGCAGCTGCTGGTATTTGTGTGGGTCCCGCATTCCTCTGTGTGTGTGGGGGGTGCAGCTGCAGGTATTTGTGCAGGTCCCACATTCCTCTGTGTGGGGGGTGCAGCTGCAGGTATTTGTGTGGGTCCCACATTTTTCTGTGTGGGGGGTGCAGCTGCACGTATTTGTGCAGGTCCCACATTCCTCTGTGTGGGGGGTGCAGCTGCAGGTATTTGTACGGGTCCCACATTTTTCTGTGTGGGGGGTGCAGCTGCAGGTATTTGTGTGGGTCCCGCATTCCTATGTGTGGGGGGTGCAGCTGCAGGTATTTGTGTGGGTCCCGCATTCCTCTGTGTGGGGGGTGCAGCTGCAGGTATTTGTGTGGGTCCTGCATTCCTCTGTGTAGGGGGTGCAGCTGCTGGTATTTGTGTGGGTCCCGCATTCCTCTGTGTGTGTGGGGGGTGCAGCTGCAGGTATTTGTGTGGGTCCTGCATTCCTCTGTGTGTAGGGGGTGCAGCTGCAGGTATTTGTGTGGTCTTGCATTTCTCTGTGTGTGGGTGGTGCAGCTGCAGGTATTTGTGTGGGTCCTGCATTCTCTATGAGTGGGGGGTGCAGCTGCAGGTATTTGTGTGGGTCCTGCATTCCTCTGTGTGGGGGGTGCAGCTGCAGTTATTTGTGTGGGTCTTGCATTCCTCTGTGTGGGGGGTGCAGCTGCAGGTATTTGTGTGGGTCTTGCATTCTCTGTGTGGGGGGTGCAGCTGCAGGTATTTGTGCAAATCCCACATTTCTCTGTGTGTTGGGGTGCAGCTGCAGGTATTTGTGCAGGTCCCACATTCCTCTGTGTGGGGGGTGCAGCTGCAGGTATTTGTACGGGTCCCACATTTCTCTGTGTGGGGGTGCAGCTGCAGGTATTTTTGCGGGTCCCACATTCCTCTGTGTGGGGGGTGCAGCTGCAGGTATTTGTGCGGGTCCCACATTCCCCTGTGTGGGGGGTGCAGCTGCAGGTATTTGTACGGGTCCCACATTTCTCTGTGTGGGGGGTGCAGCTGCAGGTATTTGTGTGGGCACCACCCACATAGATGTGAACCAAGCCCTACATACATGTCCATTGGGATAATAGGCAAAAACCAGTTCACACAACTATGCCATGTTTCATGTTTCGTGTGTTGACGCTGGACGGCGGTGCCTTACACTTGTGGGGCTCATTCACACTACAATATCTGCACTCCCTGTGTGTTTCTGCATGTGCGTTTACATGCATTTGTAATGCATTTTCAGTGCATTTACAATAGTTTCTCTGTGCACCCCATTGCAGAGATCTGTGCGAAAAATACTGATTTCAGCACCAAATGTGAAAGAGTCATTAACCCCTCGATGCTGACCTCACACAAATATGTGGCCGCACTGCACTGGACTTTATGCCGTTGGGCCACATATTTGCGTATCTCCCTTTGTGCTGGGAGAACAATGGACTACACACTCCCAGCACAGAGACTGGGGTCTCACCGTAGGCCCAGAGTCCTGTACTAACGATTGGGACCCGGAAATCCCGATTGCGGGTCACCTGATGGCAATGATATCCTCTGATTAGCTATCGCACTGATCAGTCACTGTGAAGCCCCCCCCCCCCCCCCGTATTTTCTCTTTGAATGGAGGAGAAAGATACATTTCACCCCCTTCCTTCCCAGGCCAATTTTCAGCTTTCAGCGCTGTCATACTTTCAATGACAATTGCACGGTCACGCAACACTGTACCCAAGTTAAATTTTTATCATTTTTTTGAGACAAATAGAGCTTTCTTTTGGTGGTAGTTAATCACCATTGGTTGTTTTATTTTTTGCTAAAACTAAAAAATACAAAATTAAAAAAAATAATAATTTGTAAATAAGTAATTTTTCTCCTTCACTGATGTGTGCTGCTGAGGCGGCACTGATAGGCACTGATAGGCAGCACTGATAGGCACTGATAAGCAGCAGTGATAGACAGCATTGATAGATGGCACTGCTATCAATACTGATGGGTACTGACAGGCATTAATGGGCACCGAAAGGCAGCCCTGACGGGCATGATAGGTGGCACTGATAGGCAGCACTTATAGGCGTCACTGACTGGCACTGATAGGTGGCACTGATTGGCACTGATAGGTGGCATTGGTGGGCACTGATAGGTGGCACTGATTGGCACTGATAGTTGGCACTTATGGGTACTGCTAGGCGGCACTGATGGACATTGACAGGCATCACTGATGGGCACTGAAAGGCAGCATAGATATGTGGCATTGATGGGCACTGATAGGTGACACTGATAAGCAGCAGTGATAGGCACTGATAGGTGGCACTGACTGGCACTGATACAGGCAGGCAGCCCTTACAGGGACTGATAGATGGTTTTGACTGGCACTGATAGGTGGCACTGATTGGCACTGATAAATGGCAGTGATAGGCACTGATAAGTGGCACTGACTGGCACTGATAGGAAGCACTGACAGGCACTGATAGACGGTTCCAACTGGCACTGATAGGTGGCACTAATTGGTACTGATAGACTGTACTGTTGAGGAGGCACTGCACCCCAAAATTTTTATGTTAGATTAGCGTAATTTTTATTGCCCAAAACTTTTTATAGGTGGCACTGATGAGCATTGACAGGCATCACTGATGGGCACTGATATGTGGCACTGATATGTGGCATTGATGGGCATTGATATGTGAAGGGCACTGATCAGCGGCAATGATGGGGACTGAAATGGAGCACTGATCATCAGGGCACTGATGATCAGTGCCCTAATTATTACTGTAGATGTCCCCTCTGAGCAATGCCGCTTACCGGCATTTCCTGTTTACATGTGATCAGCTTGATTGGACACAGCTGATCACATAGTAAAGCCTTCGTCATCGGCGTTTTACTGCAATCGGTAATCTGCTAGGTCCTAGGGACACAGAGCACCACCAATCAACGCGTGCCCCTTGGGGTGCGCATGTGCAGCTAAAGTGGGAGAACGTCATATGACGTCCTCCCACAACAAGAGAGCTCCCTCCCGTCCATCATTTCCTTATACGGCGGGCAGGAGGCAGTTAAATAATAGTGTCAGTGTCAGTTAGTGTCAGTGTGTTTTAAGTAGGACAAAAAAATAGCAAAATGTACACTATTGTTTCTGGGCTGTCATGCGGGTACAACAACAAATAACATACATATATGTAGCATTACTGTGATCATCAGGAGAAGGAGAATTTACTTTGGGTATTTCTTTGGTAGGTGACGGTAATAACAAGAAATATACAGCTAAATTCTTTTTAAATATTTTTTTTCTACTATTTGGGCCAGTTATTCTTTTGATAATAATAATAAAAAATCAGGAAATATTCATTACCAATTACCACCAAATGAAAGCCCAATCTGTCCTGAAAATAAGAAGGTATAATTCACCTGTATGTACAAAGAAGTTGTGATGATATGTATGGATTTACTAACACGTCAAAGTTGCAAAACTTGTGCTTAGGCATTAGGATTTGTTTTGTTCCGTAGGCGTGAAGGGGTTAGAGAAGCATTGGTGTCAGTGGGAACTTATCTGAGAGGCAGAAATTGTTCATTGCTCAAAGAACTCCTGGCAACCTCTGGAGGAACCTTGGGCCCCATTCACACTTGGCAATTTGTAGTTGCCAGCAGAATTGCCACAATTCTGCCTGCGATTTGAAACCACATGAAATTTACAGGAAAACACGCAATGTGCATTTCAGTGTCAATTATTCTTAATGGCACGCCAAATGCAGTGCAATTTTGCCACGATTGTCAAAAATCATGGGAAAACATGGGTTAAAAATTGTGCCTGGCTCAGTGCCAAAATCTGGTACAAGAACTTTTTTTGTGTGTTTTTGAAGCAGAGGGAAGCCTATTCAAAATGGATGATGCTACTCCAAAAACATGCTAAAAAATGAGCAAAAAATGCAATGCCGCAGCCAGCGGCGGACTGAAAACTCATGGGGCCCCGGCCAATAGGGGATCATGGGACCCCTGTGTCCTTGCCCAAATTTCAAAAATCCTATGAAAAAGGTACCAGGGGCATCTCATGGGGCCCCCTACTGACCCCGGGCCCTCAGGCAGTGCCCGAGTTTCCAAATGGTCAGACTGTCCCTGGCTGCAGCATAGCTCAGGTGTGAGCAGGGCCTTAGGACTCCACATAACCCTGGTTGTGAGAGGCTGCTGTATTCTGGAAAAGCTCACCTGTGCTTCAGGGTTCTTTGTGCGTTGTGGCACATTGAGAATGGTAACGCATGGCACTTCAGTGCACAAAAACATGTGTCTGCGTAAACAGAGATGAGAATGAGCCCTGCCTGTATGCTTTGAGCTATTATTGCTAAAAAAGAAAATCTACAATGGTAAATCCTTTTGACCACTGACATAGTTACAGTGACACAAAATTTTGCTTTAAAAACAAATTCTGTTCAAGTGTGGGTTCTTAAGGCCTCATGCACACAGGCATGTTAAAATTTTATAATCGAAACAAAGAAAAGTGTGGTTTCTTTTTCAAAAGTTTCAGGTGTTTCTTGTTTTATTTAGCAAAAAATAAAAAACTCAGTGGTGATTAATTACCACCAAAAGAAAGCTCTATTTGTGTGAAAAAAATGATAAAAATTTCATATGGGTACAGTGTTGCATGACCACGCAATTGTCATTCAAAGTGCGACAGCGCTGAAAGCTAAAAATTGTCCTGGGCAGGAAGAGGGTATAAGTGCCCGGTATTGAAGAGGTTAATGAAGCTTTGACAATAAAACCTGGAATTCTGATTGGTTTCTATGCAGAGCTGCACCAGATTTTGTACCAAGCAGTTTTAGTAAATTTCCCCCTTACACCCCGGTCACATGGGGTGCGACTTGGCATGCGATTTGCATGCCATGTGATTTGCAAATCATATGCCAAGTCACACCCTATTGTCCGTTATAGTGGTCATATCAGTGCAGTTCTGACTTGGTCAGAGCCACACCGATTTCTAAAGTAGTGTATGAGCTACTTTTGGTGCGATTTGCATAGACATCTGAGTAAGATGTCTTGAAAATCGCACCTGATATCGGCAAGTCATCTGACTTTGAAATCTCAAAATTGGGCTTGATGTGACCGGGGGACACTTTAGGCAGGACCATATTATAATGCCATTTGTTAACTTTCCTTTGAAAGTGATATATGCCGAAAATGTAGTTCATTTGCAAATGTAAAGCCGAGGTGTGCATTGTTACCTTTGTTTTGCTTTCCTTTGATGTGAATATTAATAGTAGACACATTCACCATGAGTGAATATACGGTAGAAGTGATAAATAGGCATCTAGCATACATTTCCATGAATTGGCTGTGCGTCGTCAGTTCATTGGTGGAGAGGGAGCTATATTGAGGAATAGGTTGCCATCTCCTTGGATGCTAGGAAAGTATTTCTGCAGTTGAAGACTTGCCTAGAGATGTTAGATTTACCATGGTGATAGTGAATTGGAGGCACTTAGAAAGGCTCGTCCTGCTTTCAGTGCCAGAACCCTTTCAGAGATCGGACAGAGTGTTATAGAGAAGAATAGAAGGCTCTCTGGATAGATGAATGGACGCATGACCCCCTAAAGTCATTCCCTGATGCTGTATGGATTGACCCCCCCTGGCGTTTTGTGAAAACATCAGTCATAAAATACAGGGCCTCACGTAGATATCTGGCTGCATTGCCTGTGACAACCATTCGCGACGCTCAATTTTGCAGGGAATGGTAAAAAAAAAAACCTGAAGATGTAAAAGCATTGTTCATTGTGGACAAAAAAAGGGTCTTTCCTTTTTAGGATATGTTTAACCCCTTCATGCCTAAAGGGAAAAGCAAATCCTAATGTCCGAATGCAGTTTTGTAACTTTGGCATGTGTGAGTAACTGCTGTATATATCATTGTGTATATGGGATCAAACCGCGCAAATCTCGAATCGCCTAATGTCACAAAGCTGCAAGTATTAAAGA